ACCGAAGGGTCTTCAATCGCTATCAAGATACTGGAAGTTACTGGAAGTCGCAATCGGGTCACATCTCAGAGAGATGATCGTTTTATTGTTTTGAATGGACTCCGTAATCGACATTCTACCGCTGTTGAGATCAAGCAACGACTTCAACAATTTAGCAATGTTAATATCAGTTTACGCACTGCAAGGAAAAGACTTTCAGAAGCTGAACAAGATTGGACTAAAATTTTAATTTCGGATGACTCGAGGTTTGGTTTGAGGTCTTCTACCAGCCGAGAGAGGGTTTGGAGAAGAAAAGGAAAGCGATATATTCCCTCCAACATTGTTGTTCATGGGAGGCTATGGAGGTGGTGGGGTTATGTTTTGGGCAGGTATTTCTATGGAAGGTCGCATAAACTTGATCTTCATGGAGGGTTCCCTAACAGCTGCGCGATACATTGAAAATAGGTTATCAGAAGAAGTTGTTCCTTATTCGCCACTAATTGGCGAAGGTTTTATTTTGACAATGCAGGCCCCATCGTTGGTGACTACTTGGAACGGGATTCACTTCAATGTCTGGAGTGATTAGCAAGTAGTTCCGAATTAAACCCTATCGAACACCTTTGGGATGAGTTGTCAAAGAGGGTAAAAAGTTTCCCAGTGGGAATTTGCAGGAACTAGGAAGATCGGCGCTGTTGGAGGAGTATGAAAATATTTTTCAGCAGCATACAAAACCTCATGAAATCGATATGACGTCGAATGCAAGCGGTGAGCAACTCACGAGGAGGAACCAAATATTTGCTTCATTGTTATCATAGCAACATTTTTGGTCAAATTGTTTTGCTCAGTTTAATTTTTTTATTTAGCTATCTTATATTTTTTAAAAAATCCTGTAAAAATAAATCATCATCAAATAAAAATTATAACGATTGCAAGGATTTACTATAAAAAACGAGGGTGGACACTTTTGCCTCTCAATGTATATTTTTTTAAATTTTAATTGCAATTAATTTTTATATGATCATCTAAGAGCACAATTATTTTATATTTACTTTTTGAAGTAATTTTACTTTACGTGCTTACCTAGATTTCTTTGTTGTTTTAAAGAAAGTGTTAAGAGTCCAATTATGTCATACTTAACGAAGAGAAAAGGTAAATATACAGGAAGTTTATTTTACATTCTTATATTTCACAGTATTTCCTTAGTTTTGTTAATGCTTTAAAGAAGGGGTTAACTTAAAGTTAAAAAAGGTTAATTTGAAGTTCAAGAGGGTTAATGTATAGGTTATAAAAGTTAATATCAAGTTAAAAAAGGTTAATTTGAAGTTCAAGAGGGTTAATGTATAGGTCATAAAAGTTAATATCAAGTTAAAAAAAGGTTAATTTGAAGTTCAAGAGGGTTAATGTATAGGTCATAAAAGTTAATATCAAGTTAAAAAAGGTTAATTTGAAGTTCAAGAGGGTTAATGTATAGGTCATAAAAGTTAATATCAAGTTAAAAAAGGTTAATTTGAAATTAAAAAGGTTAATTTGAAGTAAAAAATAGTTAATTTAAAAATAAAAACAAACATTAATTTGAAGTTTAAAAAATTATTACATATTAAATAAAAGTTAATATCAAGTTAAAAAAGGTTAATTTGAAATTAAAAAGGTTAATTTGAAGTAAAAAATAGTTAATTTAAAAATAAAAACAAACATTAATTTGAAGTTTAAAAAATTATTACATATTAAAAAAGGGTAATTTAAAGTTAAAAAAGTTAATTTGATATTACAAAAGGGTTAATTTATAGTTAAACAAGGTTAGTTTTAATATAAAAAGGGTTAATTTGAAATTACAAAACTTTTAATTTGAGAGAAAAATGGTTGATTTGACGGAAAAAATATATTAAAAAAGAATTAAAATAAAAAAATCTCATTTCGAAATAAGAATCATTTGTTTTTACGAAAAAAATTTAGTTTTCAGACCATCTTCCTATTTCTCCCTCTCTCCTTACTTAACCGTATGTTAAATCCTCCATCTAAGTTGTAAGACCGGCTTATTTAAGATCAAATGCATCTTATAAAAGCCTTTGCATAGAAAAAAAGAGAAATTTTCTCATGTTGACTGCCGTTTGGCTTACTTTAGGCTTTTTAGAAAGGAGTTTAGGCGGTTGATCAACTACTTTAAAATAAAATAAAAAATTGTAGCAGTACTATTTCTATTTCCTCTTGCCTTAACATTTTCCACTGTACACGAACAAACCAATTCACGTGTATCCAGAACCTGTGTTTGTTAACCCCTCTCATGACGACCCATTTTCCTTCAATGAGCTGCTTACTGTTATCGTTAAGTTAAAGGATAAAAAGGCGGCTGGTCCTGGTAGAATCCCTTTTGAATTCTTTAAATACGCACCTCATGAATTCCTTGAGTGTTTGTTTTGCCTGTTCAACTACTTTTATGATACTGCTTGCGTTCTATTTTCGGTAAATCTATTATTTTTCCGCTGTTCAAACACTGTGAGTGCTTTCTGACTACAGAAGAATTTCATTCCTCAATAGCTTAGCTAAAAAATTTTCTGGTTTGTTGCTTAATAGGATAAAAAAATTTGTGAATGTTAATAATTTATTAAGTGAAAACCAAACGTGATTTCGGAAGGGGTTCTCAACTTAATTTAGTTATTTTGTTCAACTTAATTAGTCTGAGACTCTCCGCATCAAAACAAAAGGCATATTGCCTATTTATTGACCTGAAAGCAGCATTTGATAACGTCGACCGTTTGGCTCTATTTCTAAAACTTGTAACTTGCGGTTTTCTTTCAAATTCATAAAGGTGTTGAAATCGTTATTTTCAGTGCTATCTGCCCATGTTCTTGGCAAAGAGGGAATATCTGATTCTTGCGAGGCACAGTGTGGTGTGCGTCAGGGTTGCTTGTTGAGCCCGATATTGTGTGTAGGTTATACAATTATAAAAATCTTGTATTTTGATGATACCGTAGTTGTAGCCGAGTCTGTTGCGGGTCTTAAAAGAAACATAAAACTGTTAGAAGCCTATTTTGACCTATGGAACATGTCAGCTCATCTACAGAAACCCAAAATTGTGTTCAGAAAGGATGGTAAATTAAGTTCGTCGGATCGTTTCTTTTACAAACTAGAGAAGAAATGGGTGGTGAATGAATATAAATACTTAGGCATTTAATTTACTCCTAGGCTTTCTTGGTCGAGACGTTTCTCGTCAAAGGCTTCGGAAGTTAAATTGGCTTTGAATCATCTGTGTCTCGAGCGATTCTTTGCATTGGGGCTCAGATGTGAGGCTTTCAGAGATTCGAAGCTGTGAGAACAGGTCCAGTGATTTTTCATAAGAAATTTTTTTTCTCTACCAGGTGGCACACCATCTATATAGAAACTGCCATTGATCTACTGTATGTGTTCACTCTCAAGCTGCACTTTTCCTATAACCTGAAGACGCAAGGTTCTCCAGACTCGAGACTCTCAAAAATTACCTCGCTTGAAATAGTTCGATCAGATTTCTTGGTTCTCTGCCTGGAAATCACTGTTCGCTAAATATGATATCTCCCGGTCAATGCAAAATATCGCTAACTGGAGCACCCATTTTTCGGCTCTCTTGACTCGGATTAATTACCAATACCGCAGTCAATGTGCTGATCATGCCCTGAACCTTTCATTGCGTCATAAAGAGTTAAGGGGTCCTCCAGGGATTTTCAATCTGAAGAAGCTCAGTTTTAAAGGTTACTTAAAGGTTTGGTTGAGTTACATGGCATTTGGCTTTTAAAATGCGTTACGAAGTTCTTCAGCTGAGCTCGGCCGTGTGGAATAGTGGTGAGCAGGGATTCTGTTCTGTGTTTTTTGGAGGGTGATACTACGGCTTACCTGGATTGGGGGTGATAAAGACGCTGGAGCAATTTGATTACAAGTATCCCAGCGATGTTCCCCGTAACCTGATCCTGGAGCTGCCTAGATTGGTATTCATTGAGGCCCAGGAGAATATCGTGTTGCTGGATCCGCCAGGGGTGGACAAGACCCACCTGGCAACCTCTATCTGCTATAAGGCTGCAATGCAGGGATTAAGCAAAATCTAATGCACGCTTGGGCTACAAACTGACAAAAGAATTTAATTCTTGATTTTATTACTGAAGTAGTATGTAGAATAAATGTATATAGAATTTTTATATTTTTATTGTGTGTTGGCAGAAGGATTTTTCGATCCAGTTTTTTTTTTCTTCACTCTATTGTATTTTAGTTTGTATTGTAAATATAACAGTTTTTCATTCATTCATTTGTTTTTATTTTTATTAATGTTTTTATAATATTAATGTTTTATATTAATTGATGAATTTTAAATTGAATTGTAATTAAGTTCCTTCTAAGTGCCCAATTATTTTATATATTTTTTAAATGCAGGAATTTTATTATACGTGCTTACATTTCATAGCACCGTAATTGTTTTTGTCAATTCCCCAAATCGCAACTCGTCCCTCAACCGGTTTTCAAAAAATGTTTAATTTGAAGTTAAAAAAGGGTTAATCTTAAGGAGAAACATGTATAAAGACGAAAGTGGATTGATTTGCTGAAAATAAAAATAAGTTCCAAAAAAACCAACATGATTAATTATTTACTTCACCTAATAAATAACTCCGTACGATTTATTGTCAAGAGTTGTGGTACAAGTTGGAAATCCTTTCGGAACATTGTCCCTCGGATTCCTTTCGTACTATCTCTTTATTAAAAATACCTTTGAAAAGTGCCCGGTGGCCATGACACCGTCCTGGGGGTGTGTAATATTCTAGAGGGAATCGTTCAGCTCTGGAACAATGGCCGTTTATTGGGGCCAAATAGGCCAACCTTTCGTCGGGGGGCTGAGTTTTCCCCGTCTGTCCTGTCTTCTCTTGTGAATTTAATGGAAATAACTCCAACGTCCAGAGTTCGATCGTTCGTCAAAAATGAAAATACGGTTCTCAGAGCACCAAGTATTATTGATATATAGAAATGATTGCCTGTACTGTTTGATAGACAATTCTTTGTTCTAGGGTGCTGGAAACCGGTACTCGAAAATTTCTAAGGTAACATCTTTGATAAAACAACCCTTTTCTCTTTTAATATGTACACTGTCCATACGAAAATAAAAGCCCACCGCTTCATCATTAAAGTCATTAAATCTTTAAAATCTAAAAAATTAATTATTTAAGATTTGTTAATTTATTCGTTAATACGATTAAAAAACACTTTACAGCTAGCACGCCCCCATCATTACGCACTGTTACATAGTTGCATGTGCACCAAATTTAGCACTTTCTATTAAAAATTAGATAATTTAACCATTTAACAGTTTAAGCTATGTTATTTTGTATTTAATTAAAAGGGAATTAATAAGATTAATGGGAGTTTTAGTACGGGTCCTCCATAAAACAATAGGCCCATACCAAAGAAAAGGAAAAACACAAAATCTAGTGGTGCGTAAGTAAACCCATGATTTAACAACTGGCACAACTGGCACGCACAAACTAGGTTAAATTACACGAGTTCATCCAACGATGACCAAATCATAGAAAACATAAAAATCATAGAAACTTAAATAAAAAAAAAAAAAATTAATAGAAGGTGGCTGCGTCAATGGGCCAGATCAACAGAGAAGCTTTCGGGTATCAAGAGCCCTGGGTCATTCTCACCCGATTAAGAATAGGCCATGCGAGGTTGATACACTTACTTTTGGGACAAAGCCCGCGTATGTGTCCGGCATCCAGAGAAAGGTTGCTCGATGTGTATTGTGTACCACCAAATTGATGGGTGCAGTTGCTTGGCTCCACACAGAAGTGTCACCGGTTTTGACAATTGTCCTTGAGCACGGCAGCGAGTATTTGGGTCCCCTATTCCGATTCTTGGAAGGGGTATATAGTAATAATAGTTGTGTATACCTAGTTTGTGTTGAGAGTGACTGTATTTATTAGCGTGAATGTGTGATGTTATAGGGTCGATGGTGGCATATCTAGTACCCCGATTTGAGGAATTGAATATGTTTGAGGAAGAAATATTAGCTTTTTTAATTATATTTAAAGAAAGAAAATTACTGTCTAGCCGCAATTTAAGATTAATGCAATCTGAATTAGTTACTTTACTATCCCAGGTATTTATATTATGACCACTAAATAAAATTACGAAGTATTCAGCAAAACGTAAAAAAATTCTTTTTTGTTAAATAAAAAATTATGAATTATGGTTTTACCATTATTGGTCAAACGACAAATTTTCTTCCTGCTCCTTTGTAGTTTTTAGTAGGATCGATGATATTTTGAGAAGGAAAATCTTCTAGAGGAGAGTATCCCTGAAATGGGCCGATTTAATTTTAACGACCCCCCCGTCATTAAAGACAAAACGGGCGTTAAAACGACTCGTCAGACGCATTAATCTAGGCTGTAAAAAGGAAACTTGTTTTCAAGCTTGTAATCTCTGTTGGTAATTTGTTACCCAACTCCGACCCACGGACACGGGCAAAATGAAGCACTCGCTGAAATCATTTTATCTGTACGAAGCCCCTTTGTACTTCTCGTCCATCGAGAACATTCGTTTCAAGCAGTGCATCCTCTTAAAACGTGTCTCCTCGCATTAACAGGCGTCACAGGCGGGCATGTACCATCTACGTTGAAAAAAAAAAAACCCTTAAAATATTTTTATTCTCTTTGACATTTGAGATAGTGGGCGGCCTACACGGATCTGACAAGGCTGAAATAAATAAAATATATGAACGAGAAGAATAAAAAAGTTTAGGGACATCTAATTCTTAACGTTTCGAATCGAAGAAAAGATAATCCTACCGCAGTTTCTATCTAATGATTATTCCAACTTACCAAAAATCTACACACCTTTGGAGTATTGGACTAATGATCCATAAGCTAAATAAAACTTCTGATCTACCTAGTTCCTATCTATCCTTGCCCAAGTTTTAAAAGAAGTCCTTCTCCTAAGATAATTGCCCATGATGGAAAATTCTAATATCATCAGTTTAGATTACGCTCATTTCACTCGACAACTCAACGGCTGCACGTGTTGCTAACAATTTCGCCTCTTCCCTTGAAGAAAAACAGCTTTCGGTCTTTCTTTTAGAACAGGCCTTCGATCGAGTCTGACCCATGGGCTTGAATATCCTCCCTCATGCGTGGTATCTCATACTGCGATCAAATTGAATTCTCAGCTTATGCACGCATTAGAGCGGGTCTTCCTCGGTGAAGCATACTTGGCCCATTTCTATTTTCAATATACACTACAGATATTAACATTTGAAAACATACATTAGCTGATGATACAGTGATTCTTAGACGTAATTCGGACGATTCCATAAATAGTCAACATTTACAACACCTGGTGGGTGGACCAAGTCCCCCGCCTTGCAGCCACTTAGTGAAAAGTGTGGCGGAGTAATGTCCATACTGGTGTGCTATTTATGTGTATGTGAGACTTTGAGTTCGCTCGAGTACTTACATTTCCTAGGTTTTTGATGTTTTAATTTTTTTTTTAAATTAAGGGTTAATTTAAATTTAGACCGGGTAAAGGTCATAATTTTAAATTGTAATTGTAATTAATTTTGGTAAGGTTTTCTGAGTGCCTAATTATTTTATATTTATTTTTTTTAAGGTTACTTTACGTGCTTATATTTCATAACATTGCACTGGTTTTTTGATGTTTTAAAGAAAGAGTCCAATTAGTTAGTATTTAAAAAATTTAAAAAAGTATACAGGAATTTACCTTTAGATATTTACGTTTCACACCATCTCCTACGTTTTTCTAATGCTGTAAAGGAAGGGTTAATTTGAACTAAAAAAGATGAATTTGAAGTTTAAAAGTGATAATTATCCTTTATTGAACCTCAACTTTTTACTTAAAAAAAAGAAGTTGATTGAATTTCGAAAGAGTTAATTTACAGTTAAAAAAGGTTATGTTGAAATTAAAAAGGGTTAATTTAAATTTAAACCGCGTAAAGCTTATAATTTAAAATTGTAATCAATTTGGGTATAGTTTTCTGAGTACCTAATTATTTTATATTTAATTTTTTTAAAGGTTACTTTACGTGCTTATATTTTATACCATCTCACTGGAATTTACCTTTAGATACTTACGTTTCACACCATCTCCTTAGTATTTCTAATGCTGCAATTAAAAAATGTTAATTTGAAGTTTGAAAATGTTAATTTATAGTTAAAAACGATTAATTAACTTTTGTTGAACGTCAAATTATCCTTTTTTAATTCAAGTTCAAAAGGGTTAATTTATAGTTAAAAAAGGTTAATTTGACGGAAGTTAGCTTTCTATATGTATGGGAACATGGAATTCTCACTCCCCCAAGTGAGGGAACACTGTTTATACATATAAAAAGACGGTATTAAAGAATGAGTGAAAATATATTTTTAGCTTAGATAACATGAACGTATAACGAGTTAATTTGGTGGTCAGAGGATCGAAAAGTTGGTCGATTGGAAAGTGTTTTATTTATTACTACTTTTATGATTACTGTGTACCTCCATCTTCTCTTTTATTAGCAATGTATTAGCCTCTTTCATCAAGGTCAGAAATTGTATTATTCCTTGAGTTAGGAGAAAAGTCTGGAACTGGAATTTTGCCAGTTGGTACAATCGAATCCACCCCAATTAAAGGGGGTTGCGCTGATTAAATACTACAAATTACGTCCTTGTTTATAAATACAGGCGAGCTTGTAAAAATGTCATTAATTGTAATTATATGATGTTAATAGTAATGTAAAAATATCCTCGGATCATTTGTTTCTTTTGCAATGATTTTTTGGTAAAATTATTTACTAATTTTATTTTTAGAAAAGTTAGGAGAGCAACACAGTTTGTTAACTCCCCTAACTCCTCTTAAGATATTTATTGTGTCAATTTAATTTGTAAATATTTTTGAAGTTATTGGTCATTAAGCCTTAAGTTTGAACAATTCAGCGGTACAGCCCGGCTCCATCAGAGGGATGACCACGCAAACCCAACGGCACAGTGATAACCCACCAGAGGGCAAACAAGAAGAGATGAGAAACAAGAATTGAAGAAGTGGTTGAGGTGGATATGAAATGAAATTTTGTTTAATTGTTGGATATCTGTTAAGAAGTTAAAAATTTTATTTATTGAAGTTGAATTGTTGCTTAATATGGATTGGAGGTCTTTGGGGTTTTGGAGGAGAGTTCTAGCAGAGGTGTAAAAATGACGATCAATAATGATATGGGATATAGTGACAGGATATATACAGATTGGGCACTTAAGTTTAACGGTTCCATCAAGGAGGAAACTATGGGTGAGCTGGGGACTGGGAAGTCAGGTTAGAACGGTTTCTTCTTTTCTGGAAGTTTTGGACGAGGATTCCCATTCTTTTACATCTGTTTTTACTGCGAGGAGATTGCTCCCTGTACAAGCATCCTATTCAGCTTCCAAGCCTCCTAGACGAGCTGCCTGAAGTGACAGCAAAGGCCACTATTACGAGGAGTACCATTACAGGCGGCCTCTCTTGCAAGTCCGCGCTTTTCATTCTCAATCGTGTCAGCGTGTCCTTCCTGACCTACGTGCACATACAATTCAAGTTTTGACAAATAGCTTCGTCGATGTTGATGAGAAGCTACAAAGAAGCGGGTGTGCTATCTCCCAAGTACTGGAACGTTTTAATTTATTGTTTTTTTAGTTTCTTGGTACAGCTCAGTTAACTCGGTCCTTGCTTTAAGAAGTAGTTGTTCATTGCTTTTTAAATCTTGAGACTTTTACCAGACCCCAAAGCTTTCTCAAGGTCTCCCGTGTGAATTCTTCTGACCCTGGTTTCTCCTCTCATACGAATAGGAATCTCAGCCTACATAGGCCTTCGCACCAACAGAGGACGTGTTCCGCTGTTTCTTCTTCTACTTGGCAATACCTGCCCAGGCTTGTTTCTGCCAACCCGAGTCTATACATATGCCTCCGGAGTCTGCAGTGTCTAGTTAGCAGTCCAACAATTATTCCAGTTCTAGCACGTCCTAGATTTAGTAGTTCTGCCGGTAGTTTTTGCGATAGTCCATTGATAAACTTTTTTCGCATGT